GTGATTTCAATATACTTAAGATACTTTTCAGACTGCATTTCATTATTGTAGCGTTGCACGCTTGCTCTGTTGTTTTAAGATGATACAGAAAGGGGGAGATGAAAGATATATTTATTTTAATTAACTGTCTAAACTGTGTTGGAAAGGACTTATTGATTCCTCAGGTTATTCCAATAAGTGGATTTAAGTTTCTTTACCCCATTTTTCTTTCATAAAGACAAACTGTTATTTAAAACCTGCTGAGTTCGTTGCTAATTGAAGGGAAGGGAGTAGCTGCTTTAAAGACAACAGTGTAAAGGTTCTGTGGAGGTTGAAAACAATTTACAGGCTTCAAAGAAACATTCAGAATATGTTAATGCGGTTGGTTTAGAGGCCTTCTCAGCTCAAAGGCAGCCCTCCTGAACTCCTTACATAATTACCTCAACTCTGCTCACTTTGTAAGACAAAGAACATTTCACTTGAATTGTGATTAGGAAAGTGATACAGAAACAGCAACAAAAAGCATTTTATAAAATTTTGTTACTTGGAATCTTAGCAAGAAACAAAGCTGTGTTAGTATCTGTATAGGACTGTGGGCAGGGGAAGGAAACCAGGATCTGAGTCCATCACAAAACCACAGTGAGATATCACCTCATACCAGTTGGAATGGCTATCATCAACCAGACAAATAATAACAAGTGCTGGAGAGGCTGTGGGGAAAAAGGAACTGTTGGGGGGGGGGAATGTAAATTGGTACAGCTGCTATGGAAGACAGTATGGAAGTTCTTTAAAAAATTAAGAATAGAATTATGACCTAGCAATCCTTCTCCTGGTTGTCTACCCCAAAAATCTGAAAACATTTATCTGTAAAGATATATGTACCCCTATGTTCACTGCAGCATTATTCACAGTGGCCAAGGCAGTGGAAACCACCAAAGTGTCCTTCAATAGATGATTGGATAAAGAAGGAGTGGTACATATACTCGTATACAATGCAATATTACTCAGCCGTAAGAAAAGATGAAATACTGCCATTTGCAACAACATGGATGGATCTTGAGATTATGCTAAGTGAATAAGTCAGACAAAAAAAGTTGAGAACTATATGACTTCACTCATATGTGGGATATAAAACTGAAAGCAACGAAGGTACAAGGAAAACAAACAAAGAAACAAAACCTCACAGGCACAGACAATAGTTTAGTGGTTACCAGAGGGTAAGGGGGAAGGGGGGTAGGTAGATGAGGGTAAAGGGGGTCAAATATATGGTGATGGAAGGAGAACTGATTCTGGGTGGTGAACACAATGTGATATATAGATGATGTGTTATGCAAATGCACACTTGGAACCTATGTAATTTTACTAACCATTGTCACCCCAATAAATTTAATTTAAAAAATGACTTAGGAACTGGGGTGAATGGGGGCAGAGACACGACGATATGCAGTTGAGTATGGTCTGAAAACCAGAAGCCCTAAAAGATGGAATCTTAGCCTTGAATGAAAGCAGAGACTCAGTGAGACTGTAACGATTTCTTTGTCTCAGGAGTTTATAAAAGGACCCTTTTCATTTCTCAAGAACACACTGTGGGTTTCTACCTCCCTGACTCAGTCCATATGTTCCCTCCGCCTCCCTTCCCTGCCAGTGAATGAATTCCTGTTTCCAAGACCATCTCAGATGTCACCTCTTCTATGAAGCATTCTCCGGCCCACATCAGCAGCTTCCAGGTCTGTTCCCAGTTCTTGGTACTCACCTGTCTTCGAGCAGGGCACAGTTTATTCTGGCTGTATGCAAATCTGCCTGCCCTGCGAGGCTGTGGGCATTCCAGGGCAGGGCTGTGTCTTAACGCAGCTTTATGGCACAGCACAGGACACACAGTGACACACTGGTTGTGTTAGCTGCTTTGACCATCTAAGTATCTGTTGGAAAGTGTGACTATCGGTCCTGACTCTGGCCTGCTGCGCGTGGCCACCAGTGCCGGCTGCAGCCAGTGCCTCCTTCCTAACCCTTCCCTCAGCTTGGGGTGCTGCTGCTCCTTGCATTCCCCACCTCATGTCTTCCCTTCTCCCGATTGTCCTGCTCCCTCAGTCTCATTCATGGACTTGGATAGAAAGTTTCTATTGCTTGCCGAATTATCATTCAATAAGGTTTTCTTTAGAGAGGATGGGATGGCCTAATGAAAAGATGAGCAGGAGGGCCCGTTCGTCTCTTG